AGGTGACATCACTGATGGACTCAAGTGTGGCAGTGGTAGTGAGGTTGGCCCAGGATCGGACATTGTTTCATTCTGCTGTGCATGGGGTCGCGATGAGTCGGTTCCGACTCAATGGCACCTGACAACAACAACATTGAAAGGACAAATAAGATCTTTACATATTTCATCCAGTTAGCTCCTTTTGAAGTGCTTTTGATAAATTCTTTTCTTATTCTATAGGATTTTGCATGAAGAGTGTTTGATCATTCAACCAGTTAGCTTGTTTCATCAAAGCACAAACTATTAAAACTTAGGCCACATTAACAATATTGCATATGTATAAATCCTACTTTTATACTATATTGCAAAACCCTGGCATTACATTCTTCTTTTCTACATATTACTCCAAAGCTGCCTTAGAAGAGAGGATTGACAATCTCTTTCCAAAAGATTACAACTTTGAAATCCCTATGAAACAGTTTTACACTGAACAAATGAGTTCACTACGAGTAGGAATCAACATTATGGTAATTAACAACAAAGTCTACATATTTTTAAAGTAAATTAGTATACAAGAGCGTTTCAAAAAGTTCATGGAAAACTTCCATTATCTTTTAATTCCATTTTTCATGAACACCTTGTGTCTACATATATTTATGTGCATTTGTGTTATTATATTTATTAGAAATAGGTTAATTTCTATTTATTATACTTTACATATTACTTTATGTATTATATTTTCAAAAAGTAAATCATAATCTCTCTCTTCTCTATTACTTCTATTACATAATTTAAGAAATTAAATTATTCTTCAACAATGCTAACTACTACAAAGTTTACTACTCTTCTATTTTTAGGTTGAAAGGAATATATTTACTATTTCAACAGATATTCACTTTTGCTTTCATTAATTAAATAATATTACATGTCTTGTCCTTTTATATATGTATTAATATAGGTTGATTCTTCTGGCATTTACACATAACAAAATCTCTATCAGCAACCATAATCTCATGATTAAAATTACTCAGAACTTTGGATGTCCCTAGAATTTATTTTTTATGATGTAAATAAGTGTGTGTACTTGTGAATGGGGAGTGCAGTGGCTTCATTGGATAAACACTGAACTGCAAACCACCAGGTCAGTGGTTCGAGCCCACCAGTCACTCTATGGGAGAAAGATGAGACTCTCTCCTCCCACAAAGACTTACAAACCTTGGTAATCTTATAAGTGTTACTATGAGTTGGAACCCACTTGATGGCATTTAGCTATCAGTGACTGTTTATGAAAATGTCAAAATCTAATGTCCAAAGAAGAGTTTCTGGAAATTAAAGACTGTTAACTACTAAACTACTTAGCCATTACGTTGACAGTTTGAATCCACTCACACTCGCCTACAAAGACAGGCTGGTGGTCTACATAGTTCATAGCACTGAAAACCCTGAGAAGCATACATGAGGTCACCTTAAGTTGTCATCAACTTGACAACAGCTAAACAAGTGTCTAATGACAGATGGTTGGTTACATTGGAATTGAGTTCTAAGTAAAGATATCTTTCTACTATAATC